TTTTTGAAAAAGTGATTTTTCTCCGTGTCATTTACACACTGCAATTACAGAGACAGAGTATTCTGTATTTGTGTACTCACCATTACCCATGAGTTTTACATCTTCAGATGATTTTGCATTGTATTAATGTCCTTCTCCTTCAGATTGAAGAACTCTGATTTAGCATTTCTTCTACAGCTAGTCCGATGTCGACAAAATTCATCAACTTTTGTTTATCTGGGAAAGTTTTTATTTCTCCATGTTTGAAGGATATTTTTACAGAATACAATATTCTGGGATTGAAGTTTTTTTCCTTCAGCACTTTGAATATGTCATGCCACTCTCTCCTGGCCTGTAAGGTTTCCACTGAGAAGTATGCTGCCAGATGTATTGGAGATCCTTTATAAGTTACTTTTTATTTTTTCTTGCTTACCTTAGAACCATTTCATTATCTGTGACCTTTGGGAGCTTGATTATTAAATGTGTTGAGGTTAGTCTTGTTTGGATAAAATCTGCCTGGTGTTCAATGACTTGTTTATATCTGACTATTGATATCTTTCTCTAGGTTTGGAAAGTTCTCTGTTATTTTTTTTAATTAATTTTTTTAAAAAATTTCAATATAGGTATGTGATACAAGTGTTTTTTATTAAATGGATGAATCATATAATGGAGAAATCGGGCTTTTAGTGTACCCATCACCTGAATAGTGAACATTGTACCCAATAAGTAATTTTTGATCGCTCACTTCCCTTGCACCCTGCCCTTTTCTTATTCTCCAATGTCCATTATACCACTTTATAACCATATATACCCATTGCTTAGCTCCCACTTATAAATGAGAACATGTGGTATTTGCTTTTGCATTCCTGAGGTTCTTCCCTTAGGATAATGGTCTCCAGTTACATCTAAGTTACTGCAAAAGACATTATTTCATTCTTTTTTATGGTTGATTAATATTCCATGGTATTTATATACATTTTCTTTATCCACTCACAAGTTGATGGACACTTAGGTTGATTCCATATCTTTGCAATTGTGAAGGGTGCTGCAATAAATATTCAGGTATAGGTGTCTTTTTGAAATAAAGATTTCTTTTCCTTTGGGCAGATACCCAGTAGTGGGATTGCTAGACTGAATGGTAGGTCTATGTTTAGTTATTTAAGGAATCTTCATACTGTTTTCCACAGAGATTATACCAATATACATTCCCACAAATAGTGTATAAGTGTTCCCTTTTCACCTCATTTATGCCAACATCTGTTGTTTTTTGACCTTTTACTAATGGCCATTCTGACAGGGTAAGGTGGTAGCTCATTGTAGTTTTAATTTGCATTTCCTAATGATTAGTGATGTTGAGCATTTTTGCATATGTTTGTTGGCCATTTGTATCTTTTCTGTTGACAAAAATCTAGTCATTCTTTTGCCCACTTTTTAGTGAGGTTATTTGTTTTTTTCTTGCTGACTTTTTTTAGTTCTTTGTAGATTCTGGATATTAGGCCTTTGCCAGATATATAGTTTCAGAATATTTTCTCCTGTTCTGTAGGTTGTCTATTTACTCTGTCAATTATTGCCTTTGCTGTGCAGAAACTTTTTAGTTTAATTAAATTCCATTTATTTATTTTTGGGTTTGTGGGCTTTGTCATAAATTTATCACCTAGCCCAATGTCCAGAAGAGTTTTTCCTACATTCTCTTCTAGAATTTTTATGATTTCATGTCTTACATTTAAGACTTTAATCTATCTGCGGGGAGGGGATTTCACTCTCTGCTGGTGTGGTAGAGAACAGATCTTGTGTCTCTGTTGGTGGTGGAGTCACTTTTCATAGCTGAAGGCAGAAATCTCTTAGACTCTGGAGAGTGTAAGTTCCATCCTCCTTTGTCCTCAGGGCCACCCCTTTGGCATGCCACTGTGTTCCCCTAGGAGGGTAGCACTCTCTATGGAATAGAGCACTGGGAGCCCCCAAAGCATCCCTGGGTCCAGCCAGTGCTGCTTTGCTGCAGCCCTCCAGGTAGATACCAGGGGATATCAGTGGGAACTCCCAGGATCTGGAGACACAAGGGTCTTGATTCCTGGGGGAGGGTAAAGTCCCGAGCCAGCGTGTTCTCACAATGGCACTGCCACTACTGCTCAGGTCTGGGGTGGGGGTAGGCAACCCAATGCAAGTTCCAAGATCTGTGCAATGCCCTTTGGTGGTATGCAACTCAGTGCCCTCCCAAGTGACATGGTTCTTTTGGATAGAGGAATTCCTCCATGGTTAGGATTGCAGCAGTGCACAGCAAGGATGTGGACCACCAAACTCTCTAATTCATACTTTCCTTGAGATACTGAGTCCCTCCAGGCTCAAGCCAATCTCTGCTGTTTTGGCTTCTTGCTTCCTTCTCCTTCCATGCTGCAGATGTTTCCCATGAGCTCTTCATTGGACTCTAGTGTTCTCTCCTTGATATTCTATTCAAGGCATGATCTTCTACCTGTAATCTTCTCTCCAGAGAGGATGGGTATCCTATGGCTCTAGTCAGCCATCTTGAACTCCTCCTCCATAATTATTTCTTTGAATAAATTTTCTACCCCATCTTCTCTCTCTACCTCCTCTTTATGGCTGACAACTCTTAGATTTGCCTTTTTGAGGCTATTTTCTAAATCTTGTAGGCATGCTTCAGTCTTTTTTATTCTTTTTTCTTTTTTCTCTTCTGTGTATTTTCATATAGACTGTCTTCAAGCTCACTAATTCTTTCTTTTGCTTGATCTTTTCTGCTATTCAGAGAGTCCGATGCATTTTTCAGTTTGTCAATTGAAATTTTCAGCTCTAGAATATCTGCTTCATTTTTTAAATTATTTAAATCTCTTTGTTAAATTTCTGTTAATGCAATAGGTTTCTGAATTCCTTCTCTGTGTTGTCTTGAAATTCATTGAGCTTCTTCAGCACACCTATTTTGAATTCTTTACCTGAAAAGTCACATATCTCCATCACTCTGGGACTGGTCACTGGTGTCTTATTTAGTTTATTTGGTGAGGTCATGTTTTCATGGATGTTCTTGAATTTGTGGGTGTTTGTTGATGTCTAGGATTGAAGAGTTAATTAGTTATTCTAATCTTCACAGTCAAGATGACTTATTTGGACCCATCTTTCTTGAGAAGGCTTTCCAGGTAGTTAAAGGGAGTTGAATGTTGTGATCTAAGTCTCCGGTCACTGTAGTTGTATCAGCACTAGGGGGTGCCCCAGCCCAGTAACACTGTAACTCTTGCAGGCTCCTGGTGATACAGCCTTGGTGGACTTGGGTAAGATATGGGAGAATTCCTTAGATTACCAAGCAAAGTCTCTCACTCTCTTCCTTCACTTTTCCTCAAACAAGAGAAGTCTCACTCTTCATGCTGGGCGGCTAGATTTGGGGGAGGAGTGACATGAGCACTTCCTCTTGGCCACCCCAGCCGGGACTGTACTGCGTCACACCTGAAGCCAGCCCAGTCTTGCCCAAGCCCTGTGGTGACTGTGGCTTGGCTACCGCTGATGTTCATTCAAGGTCCAAGGGCTCTATAGTCAGCAGGTGATGAATCCTGCTGGAATTGGATACTTCCCTTCAGGGCAGCATGTTTCCTCTGGCCCAGGGTGGGTCCAGAAATACCATGCAGGAGCTAAGGACTGTTCTCAGGGACCTCAGGAGTCTGTTTGGTGCTTTATTTTACTGTGGCTGAGCTGGCACTCAAATTGCAAGACAAAGTCCTCTGTACTTTTCTCTTTCCCTTCCCCAAGTGGAAGAAGAGTCTCCCTGAGCAGCACTGCCTCGCATTGGGGCAGGGCCGATGCAGGCATTCGCTTGGCTGCACCACTGCTATCTCACTGGATCATGTGCACCACGCATCCGCTGGCTCCGAGCCCAACAAAACCCCAGTAGTTGCCCAAGGACTGCGGCCTTTGTGACCTGACGGCCTTACAAATTTATTCCAGGGCCCAGGCTGCTTTTTGTCAGCCAGGGGTGGAGCTAGCTGGAACTCAGGTTTCTACTGCTGGGGCAGAGGAGTTCCCTTTGGCTAGGGCTAATTGAAATGTTTCCTCTGTGGGCACTGGCAAAATTCTGCCCTGTATTGTGTTCCCCTGTGACAGGGTAGCCCTGAGTTCCAATGCAAAGTCCCACAATCACTTCACTTTCCTTCCCCCAAGCACACAGATTCTATTTCAACCCGGCACTGGTGTGGCATTGCCGACGGATGGGGGAAAGGCTGCATTGTCAGTGAAAGACTATCTTTTCTACCCTCTTCAGTGCTATTTTCCTTGATATAATGCTAACACCAGGTCTTGTCATCCCTCACCTGATTTTAGGTTCTTATGAAGGTGCTTTCTTGCATGGATAGTTGTTCAATTTGACATTCCTGTAGGGGAACGATCGCTGGAGTGTTCTATTTGGCCATTTTGCTCCTCCTCCTCTCCCAGAGTGGCCCAAAGTTGATTTTTTCCCAATTTTTAGAAACCGTGCCTGAAATATAGGTTAGGGTCCAGTTAGTGGAAAGCACATGGGTTTATTCATTCACCTTGCCACTGTGGTACCCAATCTTAGGCTGGCCAGTCAGCCAGCCAACCAGCCAACTTTGGGTATATGTTCTTTTTGTCCCGGCTCTAGCCCCCATTCCATGTTAGCCTTCTAATATGTCACAGATGCTATTGTGCAAATAAAATGATACATGTGAAAATGCTTCTAAAATCTAAGTGTGCCTAGAGATATTTTGCTATGATACTATCAAACCTACTTTCAGAAAGACACTGTGAGCCACTCTTTTCTTGCAGAAATTTCTGTGATCGAAGGAAAATGTAGTAGCCCCAAAATAATGGCTTTTGGAACTGAAATATAAATGTAAATTAATGAATGAATTTTCTCCTATTTGGGACAATAATGCTAGTCTATAATGAGCAAGTGGAATATTAAAGTCTAGTTCATGTTGTCTGCAAATAAACCAATACCCATTCTATTGTATAATGGACTATATCTTGGGGTTATATGATGGTCCTAATTACCCCAGTCTTCTTCACAGGGTTGGCCTTTGCTGTGCTCTCATCTGTGCACCCAGTGTTTGGTTTATATGGGTCTCTGTTTCCTGCCATCATTTACGCCATATTTGGAAGGGGACGTCATGTTGCCACAGGTAATAATTTCTATCTATGTTTGTACTTATGTTGCTAATGAAAGGTACTCAGGGCAATTATTAGTTGCTCATTACATTTCCAAAGCAGTTCTAACTTTACTGTGGAAAACCTAAGCAATTGTTAGGGCAAGACGTTTAATTTTCTCTGCATCAAATTGTCGATATGCACTGTGATTTATTGCTATCTCACTATATAACCAAGATTATTGGTAAAGATTCTTTGCATTTTTAACAAGACTACAAAAAATGGGGAATGTTCTGATTTATAATGAGATGAATGAATGTAAACACCTGGAAGAAAAAAAAAGACTATATAAAATTTAGTTACTCAAATATTGAAAAGTATTTACATGTATTTGCTATTTGGACTAAATGATCTTTTAGGCTTATTGCAGGCTAGATTCCATAATGCCCTTTAATTAGTATTAATATATCTCTTACCATGCCTAGCTCTGCATTATTGAATAAAATGTGAAGGGTCACAAATATTCTGATAATAGAGCAGGCTGGGTTTTGGTGTTAGATAAACCTAGGTATATGTCTCATTTCTTGTTTGCTATCTGCATGGTCCTGGGCAAAGTTTTAAAGTTTGAATTGCTGCTTTCTTAGTAGTAAAATGACCCCTAAAATTTTGTATGATTATAAGGAGAACTAGATAATTGATGCTTAGTACTTACTACATAATAAGACTTAATAAAGTTAGCTATTGTTATTATTATAAAATGATGCCTTAATCTTAAATATTAAGATAATAATAATAAAAATACTTTTAACTGGAAATATCCACAGAGGCATATCTATTTATTTTATGATTGTAAGATCTCAGCCTCTAAGTAATACCATTTCACAATCATTTCTTCAATGGGCAGTTTGTGTTAATGATTGTATTCATTTCCTGTTGCTGCTGTAACAAATTAGCAAACAAATTATCTGGCTTAAAACAAGATAAAGGTATTATTCCACAGTTCTGGAGCTCAGAAGTCTGAAATGGTTCTCACAGGGTTAAAGTGGAGGTATCAGCAAGGATGCATTCCTTTTTTGGAAGCTCTAGGGGAGAATCCCTTTTGTCAACTTTCCTAGCTTTTAGAGGCTTCCTGCATTCCTTAGGTCATGGCCCTTTCAACATCTTCAAAGCCAGCAAAGTGGCATCTTCAAATCTCTGACTCTGATCTTTTACCTCCATTTTTTCATTTGTAAAGGCCCCCTGTGATTACATTAGACACACCTGGGTAAGCCAGGATGTGCTCCTATTTTCAGGTCAGCTGATTAGCAACATCGATTTCATCTGCAATGTTAATGCCCTCTTGCCATATAGCATACCATATTTACAGGTTCTGGGGATTAGGACGTGGACATATTTCAGAGGTCATAATTCTGCCTACCGCATTGATACATAAATTTTCTCATAAAAAAATGTTTTATTTATGTAGATTTGGCTTTTTAAATCAGTTAAGTGTGTCATCATGGAAAGATTACCAGTTATCTGTCATTTACAACATTGCTGCCTAAACTGTGGCTTGTGAACCAGCAGGGTCAGTGTTACTTGGAAAGTTGTTAGAAATGCAAAATGTTGATTTCCAACCCAGATCTACTGAATCGGAATCAACATTTTTACAAGATCTCCAGGTTTTGTTTATATATGTGTTATGTATGTTATATATTATAGTATTCATATATTATATATGTATTTATATGCTTGTGCATATCTGTGTATGTACATGTAAGTTTGAGAATTGTGGATGTACTACTGATTAGATGGCTTATTAAGAACTTTACGTATGATTCGAACACAACCCTTTTAAATAGACATTATTATCAGCACATTTTACATGGGAAAAAAACCCTAAAATTCAAGTTTCCGTGATCTCACAGGTTAATGTCACAGTGCATGAATTACAACTCAGTGGCCTAATCTAAAGCCCAAGCTTTTTTTCTTTACAACTGGCTATTCAAGAATGAGCTTTTGTTTTATACTGATGCAAAGAAGGAAGAGCCCAATAATGAACTAGAAGTTTTGAAAGCCTATTATTTTTAAATTATTCTGCTCCCTAATTTTCTAACAATTTATTTTCATTTTTCAAAACATTTAAATGTTCTTAGCAAGAAAAAGCAGATTGTTTTAGTGCTGACCCCAAAAGCATTTTCTTGTTAAACACTGGATTTAAAAAAGGCAAATCAAGTTTTCCCTATAGACCATAATTACTCTAAGAAATCAAAAATACACAATTTGATATATACCTCAATGTATACTTATATAAAACATTTGATGTCTGTCCTAAGGATCACAGTAAATATTTTATTGGTTTCGTGATTTTGAAATTACCATTTACATAAGACTCCATATTTAACAAATTATTTAACAGCTATAGGAACCTTGTAGTCTACTTGGTAAATGATAAATCATTTTAAAATACATATAACTTAGAGTCTTAACTATAGTAATATAGTCACACAATAAATGAGAAAGGCGTTTTATTTCTTCATTTGTATATCAGTAAAGGACAGAGACGGCTGGACCTTGTTATTTCTTTTTTATTTCAACAATTAGAATTCCTTAGAATCAGTAAAAAATAAATGCTCCTTTTTCCTCATGTTACTATCTATCTATCTATCTATCTATCTATCTATGTCAGCAGAAACATATAATATAAACTATTTTTTTGACCCTCCTATGATCTTGTACATAGGGACCAATTGAATCTCACCAAAAATTCCTGCAAGCCATTAATATACAGAACATATTTCTCTTTTAACTCGTGTTATGTTGGTGTATATATGTGTAGAGGCATTCCCACTTCCACTTTAATATTAAGAGATTGATGTTATTTTCATGAAGAAAAATCACTTTATCTGGGATTTTACCTCCAACTTAGGTGGCAAATGCATTACTAACTTACTGAATGCAGTGTTAAATTACGCTTTAGGCACCAGTAAAAGTAAGTAATCATAAACCCAGAGTACAAAGACATAGAATATGCTATTTTGTTCAACAGTGTGTATTTTCTTATTTTAATTCAAAATATATTTTTTTTGTCAAAAAAAGAATAAGTCAATAGATTACTTCTTGTGACTTGCAAAGAACATGTCTTAGAATAAAAAGGAAAAGGACAGAAACCTGGATATTAATGCAATGGAAACAGAATTGTTGAAGGTAACCAATATTTGACAATTGGTAGGATATACTCATCTTTTAAAGTAGAGAAACTTTTAAAAAGCAAAGTTGTTTAGCAATTTAGAGAAAATATTAGGGAGATTGTAGAGGGTAGGCTTCAGAAGAAAAGAAAATAAACAAACAATTATTTATTGAAGATCGACAATATGTTAGGACTGTGTTAGTGTTGTTTTTTTTTTTTTGTATATGAAGTCTCATTTATTCTTTACCCAAATTTTGTAACTGGATATTTTATCATCACCTTACAAATAAGGGAGCTGAGAGAGGTTAGGGAACTTGACCAAGATGACAGGCTTATGTTAAGCAGAACTGGGATTTGAACTAGGGTCTGCCTAACTCTGGGGCCCATGTTCACTTTCTATGAGACCTGCGACCCACAGTGCTGTTGAGCTACTGGATGAGTGTAGTGGTATTTCAAAGGTAACACCAGTAGGCTTAAAGTATAACCAGGGTAAGAAGTTGAGAAAATGAGAGCAAGAGTAGAGAAGTAGAGGAAGGGGATAAAGACAAGAGTGAGACCTACAAGACAGAGAAGGTAGAATGTCATCCACAACATCCTCGCACACTCACTGGCAGCCGCAGCGCCCTTGGCTGTCCTCCACTGCTTCAGAAACTGCAAGGTGGCATTGTTGCTAAAGAGGCAGTGCTCCCATATCCACGGTGGCATGGTGGATATGCCCATATCCATTGCTGGCAAGGTCTGTCTTTGGAGATGTTCTTGAGATATGACTCACACACAGGTGAGGCTCACTTTCCTTCCCCCTTTTAGATGGCCCTTTTTCTCCTTCCATTCAATTCCCTCCTATCCTCCTCCAAATCCCAGGAAAGATAGGCCTAAAATAAAAATTAATTCATTTAGATCTTTGTTTTAATTCTGTAGTCATTTGTTCAGAGGCAGGCTTTTGTACAAAACATTTTGCTTTGTGCTCTAGGGGATTTGAAGACCAAAAGACACACTCCTTTACTCTCAGAAGTATGATTTGATCTCAGGAGTATCCTATTGTAACATACCCTGAGAAATATGTCTTATCAAGACCATATTCTATGGTGAATGTTCCTTACTTGGTATTGCCTATCCTGGGTGCCAGAATCTTGTTTCTAACCATCAAATATATTAGTTCCTTGATGTATTCTTAATTTAGTACTTTAGGATGGTTCATATTTATTGATGATTTATTGAAAATTACTTATCTCATCAAGAAAATGTTATTCAGCTTGCTCTATGTATTTATGCATCACTGACTCAATGGAAAAGAGAAGGACATAGAATAACAGACCCTTACAGAGCATTCTGACCTTAGTCTTACTAAGAATTAACTACCATTTATCAGGTGCTAACTACATGCTATCTACTGTGCTATGTGCTATATAACATTATCTCATTTAAGGCTCATGACAACCCTATTGGGTGAGAAATGCTATCTGTTTATAGATAAGGAGATTGAGGTGGCAGTTCTGGGATTTGAGGCGGGGTTTACTGAAGGCTACAACTACCAATTGGGGCCAAGTTTAGAGAGCACATACTGCCTCTCTTATCTGTGTTGTCTGTATTGAGTTTCCATTGAGACTTGTTTCTGTTTGACTTATGTTTTTCTTGCCTAGGCTACTACATGCTTTGTGTTGGGATGTCTACATTTTGCACAGGTCCTTTTCACAAAGTCTCATTTATGACCTGAAGCAAAGTAAGATCTTTAAGTAATGAGTCAGGGGGAATATTTGCACAATGCTTCAGTTTGTTTTTGTAACTCAAATTTGCTGAGTCCTCTCTGTGAGCATCAGCATTTCCATGTTCACATGGCTACATTCCTAAGCATGCTGTGCCAGGATGAGAGCCTTCAGAACTCTTGGCAGGAAGAGGAGAACGCACTGAAAATTGTCCCACCTATGTGAGAGGCCATGACCACTCTTGGGAAATACCACTGATCCTTATCTAACAACAGTTGACAGAAACAATATGTTTGGTCATTTTATGGACTGTGCTATGTTGTTACAAATCAGAAAGGTATACTCTGTTATGAGATCACAGACGGTAGAAAAATGAAGCCTGGTCAAGAGGATCTGGAATGGATCCTTGTCAGATGTGGGAATTGAGCCAACCTTGAAAGACAAGTAGGGTTTGCCCAGGTAAATTGGAGGAGCCAGCATTTCAGGCAAAGAACTTACATTTAACCACTGACCTTACTGAGCTCATAGTCATCATCTCATTTGTATTTCCTCCAAACCCTGAGACACAGATATTATTGCCCCTATTTTTCGGATAAGCCAATTTAGACCCACAGTAATGTACTTTAGGTCACAGGATTGGATTCAAGTCCGGGCCATAATCTTAATTCCTGCCCCTAGGACATTCTCTGTGCCAGTCTGCAGAGATGTGGGGAAACGTATGGCCCAGGAGGGAATAGCAAGTAGATAGTATGGCTTGATGTTGAATGAATATTCATCTATGGAGGTAAGTTTTTGTTTCTTCCAGGAAGTGGGGTAAAGAGTGGAGAAGTGGGGGTAGAAAGGAGAGTGTTTCTAATAGATGTTTGGTTTTACAATGTGGTTTTCAACTTTAATGGTGGAATCCCACAATTTTTATTAAGTATTTTAACTGAGTTACTAACAGAAGATTCACCTCATTCCCCCTTTTAGGCACCTTTGCCTTGACATCCTTAATATCAGCCAATGCTGTGGAGCGGCTTGTCCCTCAGAGCACCCAGAACCTCTCCACACAGGGTAACACAAGTGTGCTGGGCTTATCTGACTTTGAGCTGCAAAGGATCGGTGTTGCTGCAGCAGTTTCCTTCTTGGGAGGTGTGATTCAGGTAAGGAATACTGACTGAGACTGGGAAATAAAGGAAGAGAAACAGTGGAAAAGGAAACACAGTTGGTACTTTGCTTTTATTCTTGTTCATGGGTTTGTCCCTCCAGATGAATAAAGGACAGATGTATTTTACCTTTATGGAAATACTGTCTATTACCCAGAGTAGTTATGCTATAAATGCTGGTTGAATATATGCATTAGAATCAATAAATTGAAGTTACAGAGAAGCAGTTTTTGGCCTTTTAAGAACATGTTTTCTAAAAAATGTTTTACAAAATGGAATGAGCTGCCTTGTAAGGCAATGAGGCAGGCCTTGTGTTCACGGTGATTAGATTGTCACTGTAAGGGGAGCTGTAGGAGAGATTCCTACAATGAGGAGATGTGAGTAGACTTCTAGGGTCCTTCTTAATTTTAAGGTTTTATGACTTTGTTGCCTATATCAGTAACAAATGATACTTAGTGTGGCCATAGGTTTGCTGGTCTGAGGTCATTGGATCCTACCTGTACCAGCAGCATCAGGGATGTGTGTTGCTGCCAAGTTCCCTGTAGTCTTTCTATTTCTTCAAAATATCAAAATACCTTACTTGATGTTTCAAATCGGAGGTCAAAATAGATAATTCGGAAGTGACTATAAAATAAATGTAGAACGGAATTGAGTGTTAGTCGTGGAATTGCCTGTTTGATATATCCATTTTTGCTTACTCTCTTGTAAATTGGATTATGTGTGCATAAGCTTCCCAGGTGGTTGTGTTCTGGGTTGGTAGAGGCTCTATTTTACAGTGTAACATTATTTACGAGGTCGAAGATCAGGTAAATGCCAAGAAGGGAGGAAAACAGTTGATAGCCTGGAATTGGATGGTAGGAATAAAGACATAACCTTGAAGGAAAGAAACATTAAAATTCCTAGAATTACATTGCCTGCTAGCTATGTAAAAAGGACTGAAGAATTAAGGATGTGAGACAAAATGAGAATAAGAACTCATATCTTCACAGTTCTTGAGAGAAGCAGGCTGTTTGAGTGACAGCTTTGCGTAGGAGACTGACTGGACTAGAGGGCCGATTGGTGTTTTCTGTGGCTCATGTCTGTGCTGTCATGAAAGGAGAACTAGTTTCCGGGTGCCCTGTAAACTTTGCTGTATTTTTTCAAGCAAGAATGATGCCAGCAGATTCTGATACGTGCACTGGCAGGCTTAGTGGCCTTTTCCGCCTTGCTTGGCCCTCGTGAGGCTGCTGAGATGCCTGTCGTCTGTCTCCATCTTAGACATGTGAACTGGTGGATCAAACACTGATATATATGTTGCCTTAGATTTTGGTATAGGGTTTCCTTAATTTCTATTCATTCAAGATAAAAGTCTCCGTATTCAAACAGCCATGATAATAGCCCATCTTTTTTTCTGTGCTGTTATTTTCCATTCCTATCTCTATTTGAATTTATGATTTTTATTAGGTTTGGACTTTCTTTTATAAAGCATGGAACAAGTAGTTCTAGGTATATATTAGTATTTTTAAAAAATCTAAGAGTATGCATAATTAGCAATAAGACCCAGCAACCTTCTGCTTAGTCTCATTTTAACCATTTTTCATAAGTTTAAAACCATCATCAGGTATTTTGTTATTTTCTAGCATATTTGGATTAAGAATTTAAATGATAAAATATAAAAATAAAAGCCAGGATTCTAACAACATAAAAAATAAATATCTCATTTCCCGGAATGAAACTCCCTAGAATTATGAGAGTAAAGCAGGATATTATTAAAGATAATAAAAATAATTTCATTTTCATGGCCTTTTATTACATGTAAAATCTGATCCAGAGAGTTGCATGTTTTCTCTTATAACTTCATCAGACATCTGCTTCCCTTCCTCTTTTGCTCTGGTCCTGGATATGTGACTTACGTTTTAGCCAATTTTTAAACAGATGACTGGACTTCATTTGACCTCCAAACTCATCTGTCTGTTGTCAACTAGAACCTTAGAGTCTTTTGGATGTTTTGGATCCAGCCCCTCAGTCATTTTGCCTTTTTTTTCCTTCGCATGTGAAATCCACTGAATCAAGGTATCCAGTTTCTATAAATACGGGAGGTGTGTGTTTGTTTGCCTTATTTTACTTATTTGTGTTTTGTTTTGCCTTTGCTTATACATTATTCATTTTCAAGTTTTTTTTCCCCTCTGAAAATCAAACTGATGGAATTACTTAGGTTAATAAGATTATATTGTCAAGGTGTCTGAAACAATCACATCTGATCTGATTCACAGTTAGAAATGCTCTTACCTGCAAGTAACAGAGAACCTTGCTATCAGAGGCTTACACCATGAAGACATTTATTGCTTCTTGTATTATAGCAAGTCACAGAAGGTTCTTGAGGGGCTTTGGGGTCTGGCAGCACATTCAAGTTGATGAGCTAGTCTGTTTTTTTTTCTTAGATAACAAGGGCTCTTTGCCTCGTCAGTGCATTTCCTTTTTTGTCCTCTCTTCTGGTAGTTCACAAGTAAGTTTTTTTCCCGCTAAATTATAGCTTTTATTTGTCTAATTTTCCCACACACAACTCTCTCTCCATTTCTTTACTTGACTTATATTCCTTAACATTATTTTAATTATTTTAGTATGTCTATTTTTTAATTATAACTTGCCTTATGTAAGTTTTAGAAGCAAGTATGCACAAAACAATAGAGGAATTGGAATGAAATTAAGATGTATACTTATAGCAGACTGTCTTCATTGAAATTTCTAATTTTATATTGCTATTTGTCTGTTTTTGCTTTTCTTCCAACTTTTTGTTTGTCCATAATATATGGTGTGTATATATTTGTATGTCTATAGTATATGGTTGAGATATGGATCTAATTTTATTTTTTTCTAAGTGGCTGCCTAATTGTGCCAGCAACATTTTGTAAAAAGCCCAGCTTTGCTTCTATGACTTAAGATGCCACTTTATCATTTCCATATGTATTTAAACCTATTTTGGGAATTTCTATTCTATTCTGTTGTCTATACATCAATTTTTGTGACAGCAGCACCCTGTTTTATGGAGACTCAATAGAGTGGTTTAATGTCTGGTAGAACTAGTCTGCCTTTGTAGTTTTAATTTCTTTGTGTGTTCATGGCTATTCTTGCATGTTTGTTTCTCCTTATGAACTTTAGCATCAACTTGCCTAGCTCCATAAAAAAGCTTGTTGATATTTTTATTGGGGTTGTGTTAAATTGACGTCTTTATGATGTTGAGTTGTCCTATCCAAGAACAGGGCATGCCTTTCCTTTTGTTCAAGTCTACTTTTGTGTCTTGAAATACAATAATGTTTTAACATTTTCCTCTTACTGGTTTTGCACATTTTTATCAAGTTTATTTCTAAGGCTTTAATCTTCTTTGTTGCTATTAAAAAAGGGATTTTCTTTACCATTTTGTCCTCTGGCTGGCTAGGGTGGTTATAGTTTGTGTTTATGAAAGCAATTGATTTTCGTATGTTAATTTTACATCCTAATACCTTACTGAGTTCTTTTATTATTGGATCATTTTTATTGTACATTGATTTGCTAGTACTCTTTTAGGGATATTTTTACTTCTTTCCAAATTCATATGACTGGTGATTTATTTTATCTAATTGTGTTAGGTGATACCCTTATTATAATGTTAAATAATAGTAAAAATAGGCATTCTTGCCCTTTCTTGAGCTTACTTAAAAGGTCATTAACATTTGCATGAATTATAATGCTGGGTGTAAAAGTAAAGTATATATATTTTGTCATGTTAAGAAATTATTGTGTTATATTTTTGTGTTCTTAATAGCAAGTATAAAAAATATTGACTATTACTGAAGGCTTTGTAAGTATCCGTAAAGATCATCTTATGTTTTTTTCCCTTTAAAACTATTATATAGTTTTATATAATCTATCAATATATTATGTTATATTGATAGATTTTATATTATATACATTTTATATAGAGATATTATATTGATAGATTTCCTAATATTGAACTAACCTTAAATTGCAACAATAAATCCCAGTTGGTCATGCATTTTGTTCTTAAAATGGTGTTACATTCTGTTTTTTAATTTTTGATTTAGTACATTAGCATCATTTTTTCTTCAGTGGTATTGGACTATAGTTTTCTTTTTTGTGCTGTCATTATCAAGTCTAAGTGTCAATGTTTTACTTTCTTTCCAATGCTCTTAGGCACATATATGCAGCACTTTTAGAACATCTAGGTTTGAAGGTTTTGTTGACTTCTTTAAAATCATCTGTTGTCTGGTGCTTTTTTGTGGGATAATTTCTGGATAATGTTTTCCAATTTATTCTACAAAAATTGATCAGTTTAAACATTTTATGTCAAGTATAGTCAAATTTGGCAATCTATATTGGAAAATTATCATTTTTATTTAGCTTTTCTGTGGGATAATTTCTGGATAATGTTTTCCAATTTATTCTACAAAAATTGATCAGTTTAAACATTTTATGTGAAGTATAGTCAAATTTGGCAATCTATATTGGAAAATTATCATTTTTATTTAGCTTTTCAAATTTATTTGCATGCAAGTATTTAAAGAAATCTCATATGATTTTTTAAAAAAATATTGTTTTAATGTTTTTCCCCTTTGATATTTTCTATTATTATATTTGTGCTTTTTTCCTTTTTTTAAATCAAGCTAGCTAGGGGTTTGTCTATCTTGTTAATTCTTTTTTTAAAAAAACTAAGATTTCGATATATTAGATCTAATTTTTTTTCTATTTCTACCTCTGCTTTTACCTTTGTTATTTCTTTCCATTTGCTATTTCTTTATTTGTTGCTCTTTATATATTTTTTTCAGCTGGAAATTTAATTTATTTATTACAACTTTTCATTTTTTATTGATAAAAGTATTTGGTGATATGCATTTTCCTATGCTTATTGCTTGAAATGCATTCTGTAGATTCTGATCCATAGTGTTTTGCTATCAGTATTTTTTAGAATAAAAATTCTGTGATTTTAGTTTGCATTTCCTTTTTTACCCAACAACTGTTTA